TAAAAAATATTATATTTGTGTTTTTTTTAAAAATTTACTCTTAATTTTTTTTTTAAAAAGCAAATCTAATTGAGTGTAGGTAGAGATTTTATATTTTAAAAAGAATATATATTTTTTAAAAAAAAACCTTGTCAAATTTTGAAATGGAGTATTAATTTGGGAGGAAAGTTCCTTCCGATAAAAAGATGAAAAAATTATAATTTATTATTTTAGGGTTAAGATGCACTTTATTAGTTAACAGGAAAATAGACACTTAATTGACAATTTTGAAAAAAATTAATGTATTCAAATAAAGAAAATTAGAATTCATAACTCAAAAAAGAAACAAAATTTTAATTTGATATTCTAGGGATAACGAACGTATTATTATTTAATAAAAAATTAACAAAAATATTTGATTAATAATTTTGAAAAAATTATTGTACTCAAATCAAAAAAATTAAAATTAATATATTCAACTGAAAAAAATTTAAAAGTTGCTGCTTAAGTGTGTTTATAACTTAATTATCTTTTTGGTAAAACATTTACACTGCATTTGAAATTGATTTTCAAAGTGCCTTTGAGCTGAAAAAGGTATCAATTTGATATATTTTCATATGGTTTTAGATGATTTTGATATATTGATATCCAAAACGTAAAAAAATCATTTGAAAAGACATCAAATTTAATATTTTTCAATTCAAACACACTTTTATGAAAAATACATGCATCAAATTACCGAACACACTTATGATTTGTCCTCGAGGTATTGCACCACTTTCAACCCAGCTCCTTGTCTTGCAGGTTCAATGAAACACTAATTTAAAGGACATTTCTTAGAGAAAGAAATGTACCTGATACTTGCAAACTGCCTAGACCCTCGCTCCTAATATGGGAAATTGGTACATCGTGGTCTCTATACTTTGCAATCGTGCAAATGCTTGTAATCAAAATCTCTATCCAGGAAGTTAATTGTTCCATTCAAGAGAAGCCAAATACCTTTGGTGACAGCAGCAATACGAATGCATATATATGCAGTTCTAGCATAGCAGAAACATGGCTGGTGCTTGCTAATTGCCACTACTACCATGTCTACATGAGACAACAAAGCATTAATGCCCTTTGGAATGCGCGTGGAGCTATGAAGATCTTCCAATTGTCTTTCCTGTACTGGCCTTCGTCCATTCTCCTCGTTTACCATTATCAAAAAGCTAATTTGTAGGGTGTTCTGCTGATATAATCTTTACCGGATTTTGCTGTCAATTTGTGTGACCAATCAAATTACTACTCCATTAGACCGTCCTCCCAGCATGACAAGACACTCGCATAACAATGGAGTATGATATGAAAAAGCTTGGAACAAGAACAAGCCTATGCTTTGGTAATCCTTAATCTCCTTTACCGTCTGCTTATGCGTTCATGGAGTGAATTAAAAAAAGCCCTTCAAGAAATTGACCCTTCTCATCGAGGAACAAGAAGCAAGCAATAAGATATAGATTTATTTTCTTTAATCATGGAACTACCCACTTATTATGCTAACAAGTATGTTACTATGTCCGGTTAGGACCACATAGTGAAATATTCTATTAAACAGTGGGGTTCTTGATTCAAATAATGTCTTTCTTGTCTCAATCACCTTTCCGAAATTAATCGTAGGTGACTTCATCTTGGAATTTAAAAGTTTTTCCGAAAAATCATTCTTGTAAAGAATTATTTTCGAATGAATCCACATTTCTCCATGTCACATGCAATTTTTTTTTTTTTTTTTGGAGAATGGCATTGTATGGAGCCCACTTTCTGTCAAGAAAGAAAAATTTGAAGCCACAATCATCCACTTCATATAAAAATCAGCATGAAATCCCTTTGACCGCTTTGACACTATCCTCTTACTTTATAATACCATGTTAAGAGGAAGCTTTAATTCCAAACCTTTTCTATGTTTTCACATAATGTCAAAGCACTACCTATGAAGGCACCAAAGGGTACCGCAAAATAATGTTATTATGGCAATTGAAAAATTGGTGGTGAATGGGTCTGTGCTCTGTAGAATGGAAAGAGACCTAAAGAAGCTGGAGACAAACGCCATATAGAAACACATCAGTATCAATCCCCAGCTACTCACCCCTCTCTAGTTAGAGCTCTCCACAAGGTCCTCAAGCATAGAGATAATCCCACTGTTTGTTAGAATTTTCTGAGAATGAGCATGACATGACATCACACATCTTACAGAACGTGAATAGTTACAGCAGAATTATTTACTAGGATTATGCAGTCTTGATTTCGGTTCTTTGTGTATGCTCTACAACTCAACAAAAGTTGGTCTTATATGTGCACAGCCACGATAATAGCATAGAATGCAAGTTATCAACATCAATAATAAAGTGAGCATCACATAAATTGACAGCTTTGAACTTTTGGCCGCTGTTGGGACCTATGTGAGAAACTGATCTATCAATACCTAAGCAAACAGGAGACTCAACTCGTGGGAATCTGCTAATGATAGAAACCATTACCACCAATAATTTAATGACTCCTATCCTGTGATTATATGACAAAGTAACTACTACTACTACTACTACTCTCTCTATGCAGATTCATGTATGTGCACGCATATCTACACGCATGAATATTATGGGAGATTTGGAAAAGTAGGTGCGAAGCTCGATTTAAAAATGTTGATATGCCTGCGGAGTTGGTGTTGTGTCAGGTTTAGATGAATTTGATAGATACGGGCATGGTTTATAGACCTAAAAATGGGAGTAGAGAGGTTGAGTTATCAATCATTCACAGTTTAAACCTATTGGTAATTTCTCCTAAGGCTAGGAGGGGTCTATGACTAAAATGGCATCCATCTCCAACAAATAGATTTGAACTTAATAATGATGGATTGACGGTGGATGGGGAATGCAGTGGAAGTAGGGCTACAAGGGATAGCCTGGGAAGGTTGATTGCATGTTTTTTTAATTTTTAGGGTGCGGGTACAAATATGAAAGGTGAAATATTAGATGGCCTTCGGCTATAAAGAGGGTAATCTCTTACACAAGTTCATGTTGAATCATACTTATTGTCAGCAATTAATGCTATTAATTAAGCATAATGTTCAAATGAGTTGACAATATGCATATCAAACACGTCAATGCCAACCTTTATTAGCTAATCACAAGCTTGATCACATATGGCTTCAACAGAATGCAGTAGCAGATGGTTTAGCAAATCTTGTTCATGCACATCGCTCCAAATTTATTTATATGCAGTATAAGAAATTATTTATAGATATCAGGAATATTTATACTTGTGATTCGTTTGGAAAAATGTAGCTATCGAAAATAGCATTATCCATGTAATTTTTGGAGTTAGGCCTCCTTGTCCCCCAGATTTCTGGGTTATGCTGGAACGTCTCTCTCTAGTATTTTTTATTTCAATCTAATAAAATTTGCCAGGTACCGCCTCCGTTTCTAAAGAAGAAGGAAAAAAAAACACATGAATATGCACTCATGAAGCTGTTTGAAGCAAAGGAATGACTAACATGAAACATCCCTCAGTAATATTAATTAAACGCATGCTTACAGTTTCAAAAAGGTAACAGAACAATTCCTGCTAAAGTTGAGAACTTCCGATTTCTCCCCAGAGGACCTCCAGGCTCCAGCACTATAGTGTCCAAGTAGACGGGCATTAACTAAATTAAGAATTTTAAGACGAATGAAAAACAACAATCTCTTTCGAAGTAGCAATCACAAATGTGAATTGATAAATTACTATAAAGACACCCAATGTTAAACATCTCTTTTGTTATCTAACGTTTTATGATCAGGTAAGAATCACTTTGTAAGGAAACAACGTAAAGAAAGAATAATTTTAGAAATATTAGGGGTGGGCATAGTACGGTAGCAATGCAATTAGGGCAAATCTAACCGTACATTCTTTTCAGCATATCACCTGAGGAACATTGTCAGCATAGTAGAGATTAATCGAACTGATATTTCAACTTAAGCAGAATAGCAGCATAACATTGTCTAATTCTAAGTTCTGTGCACAAAAGAATTTGGTGCAACAGGAGTAATGTCTTGTCAATTAACTAGCAACTGGAATTAAATGGTGTCAGCTACAATGCTTCTATTGAACAACGATTAAGAAACAATCTAAAAGAAAAAAAAATGAAATAGACAGTGAATCACAAAGAAAAAAACAAAAAGAAAGCACATAAATCAGGTGTGCACAAGGAACCTAAGAAGGTTTAGTTTAACAGGGAGCATGAGTGAGTCAGAACAACTTCAATAATCACTGCATCGTATATGGCATGGATCAAACAAGATACCAAAGGGCCACCTTCACTTGTCGTGTGATTTAAATTTTTCTTTTTTTTGCTCAGATACTCTTATTCACAGAGGGATGTATCCAAGATCTTCACTCTCTGTCCTTTTCTTTTTAACTGACAGGAAAACTAATTTATCAAAGATGAAAGAAAGAACTAGGTTGGCAGGAAGTCATAAAATTTATTCCAAAATTTCTTTTAGTCCAAAGTGTCTCGCAGATTGGAGCCACATGCCATGTATACGTGCCAATATCAGTCTTTTTTCACCACCTTCACTCATACAGTTAAACTGGATACACTAATCTAGCTACTTCTATTCCCACACCCCTATAGTGAATCTAACAAGAACCTGAAAACCATCAGCAGACAACTCATGCAGCCCAAAGTCGTGCACAAGCAACTCACCAAGGCAAATGAAGCACATAAATGTCATTTCATTGCAAAGAATCTAATCGCCACTTTCTAGATTGTTGCTATCAGAAAATAATTGCTCATGGAAAATATTTTCTTCAAATTTAAATCAAATTATGGGCAAGAATTTTATGCAATATGAAAAGCAATGGTGTTTAGAAAAAAAACACTCTTAAAGCCACAAACTAGTATGAAAAAAAGAGACAGGGATATCTATTGCATTTCGACCCATCACACTCACAATACATGTATAGTTTTCACAACCCATTCCTCATCAATTAATTAAAAAAAAAAGAAGCTATATATGCTGTTTTCCAGCTAAATTGGCTTCTCTTTCTATCAATGATGGAGCAGGTGGAATCATAGTTTCATCCTTACCTCCTTTAGAAGACTCTTCTTTCACCATAGAAAGCTGCCTACCAGGAGTGTTATGCCCCTTTGAAACTGTGCTCGGACTTGGAGAATTAGATATCATTACATTGGATGGGCTAGAGTTGTTGTCAAGTGGAGAACTTGGGTTTGAACCATCTTTGCAGGGAAAAGGTGAAAGTGGCATCTGGTCACTACTGCCCACTTGCTTGTGACAGAACTTATCTTCCACAATATCATAAGAATTCCCAGTTCGGACTTCCTGAGCAAGAGAGCACCAGCAACAACATAGCCACAGAGTGCAATCAGAAACTGCTGGTTCACCAAAACAAAATGTGTAAGCTGGCAAATTGAATCTCTTTCTCATTTGAATCCTCCAAAAGCCACCGTACAGCATTCCAAATGCACAAAGAATAATTCCAGTAATACCTAACGCTTCTCTGACAGTCTCGTTATCGATGTTAACAGCAGCCAAGTTGAAAATCCAAAAAGGAGCCAAGCAAAAGAGGAGAAAAGTTAAAATGTGAACATACATGTTCCCAAATCCAAGTCTCTCCATGTTCCACCCAAAGACACAAAAAGAGCAGAAAAGCGATAGGTATGCTATAGAAATGTCATCCCAAAAATCATGTATCCCTCCACTCCACTGTGGTCTAGTCTCAATTCTTTGTTCATTCGACACTGCTATATTCTCAACAATTCTTTCTTCATCTCTGGCTGCAAATGAATATCTCTTTTCTAATGATTTTGACCTCAACTTCTCTGGCCTTTCACCAGGGATAATCTGCATCTGTGCTTCTTCATCTATTTCAGATTCATAATCCTTCCCAAGGGGACTAATAATGGAGTATACACCAGCAATTGCAGGTGCACCTATTGCAACAGAAATGCATATTCCAACTCCTATGGCTGGTCTCTCTGATCTCCTATATCCTATGTTTAGACCACAAAGTGCATATTGAGCAAAACAGTTAAGATGGAGTAGAGCCACCACCACCATTATATGTGCCCACTCATGGGGCTTATAAGTCCCATTCTTACAGTAAATCTTTCTGAGTCTAGAAATGTCTTTTCGATTCCATCTACAGAGAAGCACGAGGTGATAAAATCGCTTTGGGTGTTGGTACAGACACATGAGAGTAAATAGTGCATTGAGAATTTGATTATTGACTTCAAACCATACATCTCTCTCAGACTTCTTAGGTAGCGCATGGTCCAACATCCCAGTCATGACTAGGAACAAAATTGCACCTGAGATAGCAACACACAGGATCCACACAAAAAGGGCCATGTTCATTGGGTTCCGGATCCATTCCTTACCCATTTTCATGAGCAAAGCCCAATCAATCTTCCGTGCTAAAACCCCATTGATGCGTTCTCGAAAACCATGGCTACTTGAAGAAGTCACTGAACGTGAAAACTCGTCTCTCTCCCGAGCTAACTGCCAAAATTTGGCAGATGCAGAACCAAATTTAAGAAAGCTCATTCTATTGGGAGGGGAAATTAGGCTGTCTTGGGAAATCCCCCGTGGGTTTTCATTGCTTAATAGTGTCCTTCTAGATGCTGAAATCTGAAGAGGAGTTTGACCCTGGGCTTTAGCACCATTACATTCCTCAATTTCTTCTTTAGGTTTCCCATTGTTGACTGAAGCCATTCTCACTCTCAGAATCTGAGCTGTTAATCAGTACTACTGATGTGACCTAAACAGAGAAATGCTTAAAGCAGAGATGGGGAACTCCAATATGCAATATCCTCTATGTTTTGTCTAATTTTGAATCCTGAACAACAGAAAACAAGATCTTTCATTAACTGAAGCTGAAAAGGTAGTCTGAAATGACAACAAGCAGAGGATCTTTCAACTGAAATGCAAACTCTATAGTATACCAACAATGTGTCATGGACAAACATTACAAACGAATACCACAATGCTCTAAGCATCTTAGAAGCTGGCCAAATATAAACAATATCAAAGTCAGACATAGTTGCTGTGGCAGAAATGACAATGATTATAGTCTCATATAAAAAGGAGAAAAGATTACCTATTTCTTACAACAAGCAAGAACGATCAATACCCAAATCCAAAAAGGTACAAAAAGTAAGAAATAACTTATTCTTAGAACCCAGAATCAGATATGCGGAAAAAAAATAGCAGTCCTTCCATTATCTGGGCTATTACAGAAACTTGATTTAGATAATTCAACTCAGGATTTGATATATCAAATTTTATAAAATTTACTAAGAAATGAATGTGATTAAGTGATACAACTAAAATTAAACTACCATAAAGGTGTATGCACATCAGAATGAAGGCAGAAACATTAAGAACCAACAAGAAAAAAGAATAAAAGGAAATCTAGAGAAGGCCAAGAAAGAAGAAAAGTAAAATCTAAGACTTACCTTATGAATTGATTGATACAGGACCATAGGAAACAGAGTTTGAAAGGAACTTTTGATCTCATGGAACTTCCTGTCCAAAAATGAATGGGTTTGTTCAATGATTAAGAGAAACAATAATTGATGCAAATACTTTTTAAGACTTTAGTAGTAGTTCAGCTGGATTTGTACCTTTTCTTGGCATGACTATGTTGCTAAAGCGAAAAGAAGGAATCTATCTGCCCAGGCCAGGTGGTCGAAGGAGACTTGCTTGCTTGCTTTGCTTGACCTGGATAAATGCTGAACGCTGTCGTTTCGTGGTAAATAAAAGGCGACATGCCGTTGCTTTTGTCACCGAGGGGACAAAGTGGAGCCTGACGTCACATGGGGTTAAGAGTGTGGTGGTTCTTGCACAGATTCTGTCAGCCCAAATCATGGCATTTGTCTTATTAGATATAACAAGGGATTTTTCTCAATTTCTTAATTACTTATTATAGTAAAAAGTAAATCTTAACTACTTATTTTAGGTCTGGGTTTGAGTCTGCAATATCCATGAGACTACGACGGTGTGCATTGCAATTTCCATGAGATTAAGACAGTGTAATATATTGCTGATATTCTATTTATTATTTATTAAAAATTAATTACTAAATATGATAAAATTATTTGATAAGTACTGATTTTTAACATATTAGATTATATACATGATAATTTTAATTTTATAATTATAATATTATATTTTTTAATATAAATAAAAATACATAAATAAATGAGCCAATTCTACAAGACATCCACGTATTCATTGACTCCGAAACCAACATTACCCATTTACCCGTATCCAAATAACAAACAATAAAACGAATTCTACAAAACATCCATATGTTAAGTGGGTGGAGAACCCAGCAAGACACTTCGATGGGATGATTGCTATCTCTTCAAGAACTTTTTTGTTAGCGTCAAAATCAAGGGTCATCCATGAAAAATAGCGTTCTACCACTTGGCGTGAAGATTTCTGCACGGTCTTTGTACGGACCCGACCCATTTTGGTGCTCTTGCTCATGTTGCTGGTAAGCGAAGGGGTGGTCTCCTTCTATGAGGCTGGGGAGAAGGTGAGGCTATGGGTGGTCAGGGTTAGGGTTTTGTTGGTATTTATGATTAATTATATAATTATATTTAAAAAATTATTTATTAATAAAAAAAATTAAGTTAAAAACTTTAACTTAGCTAATCAAATAAATTTTAACTGAATTAAAATTTTAAATATGAAATTATTTAAATTATCAAACAAACTTTTTATATTAAATATCATAATTTAATTTTTTTAATTACTTAAATAGATTATCAAATATTGCATGATAGACGTGCTTGAGGCCAGCCTATTATATTTTAATCTAAATATGTTGTTGCTATTCTAAGACCTTAATGGTTCTACTCTACGCATATTTGCACCTTAAAAGTTTAAAACCGTGAAGTGGATGCCACGTTAATGTTTGGTTTACTGAAGTGATTAAAGACTCAAGAGTTCGGCTGTTCAAGGCTTCAAATTCCATTTCTCCGGCTAAATCCTTCCAATCTAACTTCCCTGTCGATTGCTGTTTTGATTAATGACTAATTAGAGATCAACAGCTAAAGACAGCATTCTTTGGCTCGTTTAGCTTTCGACAATACCCAGATGTAACCACAAAATTAAAAGTGAAAAAATGCCAGAATACGATAAATGACGGGTGAATCAATCCAAAAGAAGCAGCTATATTTAGACAACCTCCGTTTGTTTATTTCTCCAATCGCATGTGAAAGTAGTAGGGTGGAGGGATTGACAAACTCAACAGTCATAATTCATGAATAAGCCACTCACTTCCAAATATCAGATGACCGACAATTAAATCTACATGGATGCTAAAGCAGCTCCTTTTCTTGTTGCAAATCCTCCAAATGCACAAGACCATAAGGGTTTGATTGAAGATTTTTGACTTATCCGCCGATAATCCTTTTCTCCTTTTAAGTTCGTGGGGGAACCACGACTCAAAAAAAAAAAAAAAAAACCAAATATAGCACAACTACAAACACTCAAGTCCACAATTGCAAGCATACACACTCCAAGTAAAACCCAAACCAAATACGCTTTGTAATACAGCACATTGTGAACAAGTGCATAGACCATTACATAGCAATTCATCAGTAAGAAACCGAAAGAAAAGATGATTGAAACTTAAAATTTAGGTGAGGTCATCCTCCTCTAGTTCTTTAGCTTTCAGCTTCTCTTTCACCCTCAATAGAAGGGTTGTCTTCCAGGAATCCTGTACAGCAATTAAGGCAAAGAACAAAAACATCAGGAAATTGAGATGCTAGATATCAAGGCATTAGATATTCAAAAGATGCAAAATAGTAAAAGGTTAATAGGTGACTGTATAGTTAGTTCAGTTGTCAACTTCTTGACTACATGACAGAAATGTAAGACAAGGAGAGTGAAACAAGTAGGATACACATCATGCTATTTCAAATAACAATAGAAGTAGATATAGAAAACCCTTTGATGAGTAGGACATATAATATACTTGGTGTACGAAAGTTACATGTATTCACAGGTTTTCTAGCAAGAGTCTAAATACAATAGAAATTTACCCCTAAACCCTAAAATTGATTGATTAGACAAAATTTCAAGTGTAAAGCACTTAAAAGGATTATAAAGAGAAATGTACCAGTGGTGTCATGCTATCAAATTCCTTGACAACATCAGTGAACTTTGCAACATCTTCCTCATCAATGGCAGCAGCAATATCCTGTCAAAAGAAGAATGTGACTGCTCGTAGGCATTCTATCGTTACACCAAAAAAAGAGGGAACAAGAGAGACAGCAAAGGAGACAGTAACAAGGTGGGGATGGGGGTGGGGGGTTGGAATTAATTCACATTTCATAAACGAATGTGTGGATACACACAAATGGATATTTGCATTTGAGAGTTCTGACTACAGTCTACACTGCTCAATAAGCTGTTAGCATCATGGAGCAGAAGCTAGATTGGATGCTAACAGTCTCATAACCGAAACGCAATATATTTACCCACATTCAATACCAAAAGACAAAATAGAAAAGTTTCCAAGGAAATTAGTATAGAAGAAGCATAAAGAGACCAACAAAAGTTTTCCATGTTAGACATAACATACCACTAGCAATTTATATTCACGAGTTCCTGAAAAAGTTGGATCCATTTCCTGCAACAGAAATTCAAGTTTTATTGATTCTATCCAAGCAGTGAGGTAAATAATAGAGGTGCAAATGGGGAGCCAAAATTAAGACCTGATATCGCTCCAATGCATTGGTAATTGCAACAACATCGCCTTTGCAGAGATGGCAAAGGCCAGCATTAAGAAGATGACCTTTGACTCCATACTTCAGTAAATTACTTTTAAGCGATTGCCGGGCTATCTCTTCATAAATGTCAACCGAAGTCTGGTATCTGGACAAATATCACAGGAAGTTATTCAAATCTCTAAAAACCATGCTAATGTACAGTCCAGCTAAATGAAATAATCTGGCCTTTACTCTTTTGTTATCATGTCCATTTTGACTTGATAACCCATGTTTATTACGAGGGGCAAGAATGTGATCAGCTATGGGTGGAATAAAATGTCAACATTTCCAAATGCACATACAAAAAGCAAAATACAGTTGTTTCATGAGAATACAGCAGACACTGATTGGAGATGATTGTTCATATCTCAGTTAATTAACTTGATCAGCATTCCCTGATTTAGCAGTGTGCACAAATTGACATCACTTTACTCTTAATTATCAATGCGCTTGATACCAGTTTGTCATACCAAGCAACAACTGCAGTAACATTCAATGTGGACAGAAGAATGCATGTAAAAGCATTCAAACAATAGAAAGCAATACCAAACAAGAAAAAGGCACCCTTACTGTTCTAGCTGAGCAGCAAATTCTGCAACTTTCTGCTTGCATTGGTTGGCAGAAGTTGTTACATCTTCATTTTGGAAGAAATCAGCAGCCTTCTCGTAAAATTCCATAGATTTCTCAATATTTGCATCGGACTCATACAACTCAGCAACTTCCTGCAAAATAAAAGGTAGTTTCAAAGCTTAATAATGTTGCAAATTATTAAGACGATAAACCCTAGAACAACTGAATCAGGATATTATATACATATAGTTTGCATATCAGAAATTCCTTCAAATCGTCATCTCAAATACAAAAAAGCAATTGCCTACAACAATAAAACCTAGAACAACTGAATCAGGATATTATATGCATATAGTTTGCATATCAGAAATTCCTTCCAGTCATCATCTCAAAATACAAAAAAGCAATTGCCTACATACCAACGCTGCTATAAAGAGTAAAACAATGACAACATATGGTACAAACCCAACACTGGTGTGAAGAATATACCTTAAGATATCTTGCAGCCATACTGATCCTTCCTATATCGCAAAACATATCTACAGCCTGAACTAAGCAAGATATTGCCTCTGCACAAGGAGAAGCTCCAAAAGATGAGGCAATGTGAATAAGGAGCACAAAATGGGGGGAGGCAGATATGAATGTTACATTACAACCACATTTCATTTCACGTATCAATAAACAATATTAAAATATCCTTACAGTAGCATGCACAAACCAATGGCAAGAACATATAACAAAGGCACACTAACAGCAAAGCAACACTAACTTGTATGTGCAATAGATTCATGCCTCAACTTAAGTAATTGTATAGGAGAGGGGGCACTAATGCATACCACTAGTGGATGTTTTCTTGTAACTATGAGCAGCATCAACATAAGCCGAGGCAGCTTCATGTTTGCTATCCAGCTACAGAACATAAGATAACAGTAATGTCATAAAAAAAAAAAAAAAGGAGATAAAATAAATTTCAGTGCTTAATTCAATCACAGCAGAACACACACACCTTCAAATGACATTGTGCCAGCTTGACAAACGCTGATCCAGCTTTTTCCCCTAAAACACAATAGATGGAAAAAAAATTGAGCAACCAACCGTACAGGCCTACCAAAAATGAAACTAATTGAGGATGTAACCAACTTTATATGATTATCAAGTTATCATTTAATTGATAAAACTTTGACTGCAATCCAATCAAAATCCTAAAAAATGCAAATCCCCATCAATTGTTAACCAAAACTTGTCAATTAAAACACAAAACAAAAACAAATTCAGTTCAGTTCAATTTAATTTAATTGCTAAACCCAAAAAAAGGGACCGAAATCGATCCAATCGCGAAAGCAGCTGATAATCAGAAATACAAAAAAGAAAAAAAAATCACAAACTGAGATGTTGTAACGAGATCCTAAATAAATAAAGAAATTAAAATAAATTATTTAACTTAACATTTATAATCGTGAAAATAAATAAAGAAATGAAAATATATTATTTAACTTAACATTTATTATCGTCAAAAGAAGAAAAGGGAAATAGAAAGTATACAGGATTTAGCGAGCTTGTAATTATTTGCAGCTTTGTCGAAGAGATCGGCGGCGTCTTCATATTTGGAACCGAAAATACCCCAACCGTTCAGTTTCTTCTCTGCTTTCTTCTCCAAATCGTCTCCTTTTGCTACCAAATCCATTTTCCGATGGCCTCAACGATCTCTCTCTTTTTTTAATATAGTTTATTGCTACTATTATTATCGGTGGACGGTGAGGAAAATGTCGATCGAAATGAAGACTTAACAATAACGAAAAGAAAAAAATCGGAAAAGTAAAAAGAATACGATGATGATTATATTTGTCGAGAATTTGTAAAGAATGAAAAAAAATAAAAAGGCTAACTAAGTTCAGTCATTGTGATTTCTAAATGTTTCACTTTCACCTTTATAGTTTCGATTGTTCAATGTTATCCTGAATTTCCAAAAAATCCCAATTTGGACCATGTCTTTCCTTCTTTTTTTTTTTTTTTTAGCACGTTAAGAAGGTCATCTAGCTAGCTTTCTAGTATCAAGATTGAACCTCTTTGTTCGGGAATTAAGCAACCCATCCACAAAAATCAATGCATTAATAAAAAAAATATTTTTTAATTGTTATCCTTAGGATTTGAGTTTTAGATGATAACATAAAGACTATGTCTAATTAACAATGACAGTAAGATGATACTAAATGTGTATTTTGTAATTGTAACTATCATTAAGACCATAGAAAAAGAAAGATTAATAAATAATATTAATTAATAAAAAAAAGTTTGATCTATCTTTGCCTAGTAAAATTAATATTTCATATGTGTTTGTGCCTTTAATTTAGTCAATTGTGTCCATATAAAATAAGTGAATTTTCAATTTATTTTGATAATAATATTTTATAATCAAACTATTAAGATCAGTCATGTGATATGGACATAACTTCATATTATATTCAAAATTACATCCAAGTAAAAAGATGATTAGTTCGACATGTCTTTGCATTTTATACTTAGCTTTCAATCTATTCTCGATGTGTCTTTGTTTTTTACACTTAGCTTTCAATCTATTCTTAAAAATATAATTGCTCTTGACTTGTCATTATATTTTATATCATTGTCTAATGTATTATTCCAATAAACATTTCCATACAAACCAATGAAAATGAAAAAATCTATAGTTTGATTGCCCAAACTTTGATTTTTTTTTTAGTGCTTAATTTTGTTTTTCACTATCCGAGTTTCCTTCGATAACTGACTTTGAAATACTACATTCCCAAAAATAACCAACACGTGGCACTTTGACAAAAAAAATGGTACCAATTATATTTATTGAGAAATAGTAAAAATCCATAAAAGAAAATAGCTGCAAAAGAAAAATCAAAACATTAAAAAAAAATGGTAAACAAACAAATTAAAACAATAAAAGAATGGTAAATTTTCATTCTTATTTTCGAAATTTATATCGTTTTGATTTTTTTAATTTATAGAATTTTTTTTTTTTTTTGTAATCTTCTTAATAAGTATGAATGAGACTCGTTTTTTATCACCTGTAAGTTGATTCTAGGCACGCTCGCATTTTCAAAGTTAGATGGCGAGGGAACTTAAATAGAAAAAAATCAAAAATTAAACATTCAAATAAAAAAATAAAAAATATGAAGCACTCAAATATAATAAAAATAAAAGGTTGAAAAACTCAAATTGCTTTCGTTTTTTTCCAACGAAAATAAACTCACTTGAAAAACTCAAACCCGGCCTAATTTATTAAAAATTAAATTTGAAAAGAAAACGAATTGTGATGTGGTGTAAAAAATATTCATGATTATTTTTTAATAAATTAAAATTGGGTTTGAGTTTCTCACTAATAAATTATAAATTAGTCCTTCTAGTTCTAAAAAAATAATAATAATAATAATTCTTTTTGTTTTAAAACTAATTAATCGGTCTCTTGACTAATTAATAGTTTTTTATATTTTACAATCAGGCAAACTCCCGTAAACATTTGATAATATCCCTTAGAAATTCTTCAATATCGGATCTACAATGTTTTGAAAACTTTAGGATAGATTTCAGAAATTTTAAGGCTATAAATACTAAAGTCAAGTATGATTACATCGTAGGGGCTAAAGTATAGTTTAAGCCAACGTATAGTTTAATCAAATAAAAAATCGTTGTTGTTTTTCTTTTTCTTTTTCAAAGCAAAATAGCCGCTGTGGCTTGTACCTGCTTTCTTGATCTGGGCCAGGTTGGTCCAGTCTGAAGGTCATTTATTATTTGAGCTGGCAGGCTGTTTCTACTGGGCTGTTTATAGATTGCGTTGCATTTAGACCTGATGGATTGTTGTTTTTTTGAATGCGAACTCAGATTCAAATGAAAATTTCGAACAGGCCTAGCTGAGCGAAGAAATAAAATTCAGCCCAAACTGATGGTTAGCGTGGGCTTCGAAGGTAAAGGTCAAAAAAAGGCAATTTCGATATAGGCTGATAGGTTTTTCGGATTACCTTATGGATCTGAACTAAATATATTTATTTCAGTTTGATAACATATACAATATTGTCGATCAATTAAAATTTATGTAAAATTCGAATATTAATACCCAAAAATAACTTGAAAATTACAAAAATGCCACATCCACAGTATTTTGTGATGAGATGAACAATGAAAACCACTTGTTTATTTTCTCTTATTCTTTTAGTTATGTTTGTTAACTCGTCGAGTGCTCATGTTACATTGCAAGTCGGGCTCAACAAGTAAAATCATCTAATTTTATATATTTTTAACCAATTTTTTTTTATATATTTTTTTACTTAAATCAAACTTATAATAGTCTAAATAGGAAATTTAACTAAAATTTAAAAAAAAAATGTTTTCATAAATTTTTCATAAAATTGCATCAAAAAAATAAATCAACAATTAATATAAAAACTTATATAAAAATTAACAAATGAATTTTTTTATTCTTATTTTATATTTATGAGAAGATTATTTTTTAAAAAAAGTGTGCACATGTAATTTATATATATTTATTAATAAAATAATCAATAATTTTAATGCAAAAATCTATATTTGAATAATTAAGCGAGTTCTTCTAAAATATTATTTTAATTATTTTATGTGAAAATTTTGATTTTAGGATATGAAAAAGAATAAATAAAAAATAATTGGTGTTATATGTGTAAACACATAGTTAATTTCTAATAAAACTAATAATTCAAAGTGTATATCATAAATAAAAAATATGAAAAAAAAAACATAAGTTGTAAAGAATGTATTAAAGTCAATAGATTGAAATAAAACCACTATAAAAATAATTTTGATAAATTTTAATTATATATATAAGTAAATAAAACTATTGAATTTTATTTTTTAATTGATTATTAAAATTGTTTAAGTCAAGTTATTTAAAATACAATTTTAGCTTTATGTATAAATACATACTAGTAGAAAATAAGAATCGAGTCTGTAAATGATGTATAATAATAAAAGAAAATAAAGGATCAATTGATGAGTGATCACTATTAATGTAAATGAAATACAATGTAACTATGTAATTGAAACAATAATGTAAAGGAAATGCAATGTAAGAATGTAATTGAAACGAGTGATATAAAAAAATTATAATGTAAATGATACAAAATTAAAACAAATGAAAAGCAGAGCCCACCGCAATTAATGCAATGTATGTCAATAAAAAAACAAATACAAATATGGGTGGCAAAGCTAGCCATTAATTAATGTAAATATAAAGTGATAAAATTGTAAGTAGAACTTGTATTAAAATAAAATGTTTGCAAGAGAGTTATACAAAATCTTGATTAATATTGAGAGTTACAAATCTTGGGCTTTGTGAGGTGGTTGCTCAACACATGAGCTTCCCGATTTTATAAAGGAGAGAGGGAGTTCGAGTAGAGAGCTTTGGTGAGATGAAGAGCTTTCTTTCCTTGAGCTTTCAAAAGTTTTATTTTATATTGGTATCGTAGCTTGGTGGGATTGAGATTTGTTTTAAGATCTATATTTTAATTCACATTAATTAAGATATTCCTACATTGTTTTGGAAGAGTGGTCCCAATCGTAAGTCCTAAAGAGATCGTAAATTTGTTGGTTTAGCTCATCTTATTATATATAATGTTTTGAATTAACAGCTTTAAAATAAGGATTTGTTTTCTAAAACTTAATCTTTTTCTAGCTTTTATACCTTTGGAATAAGGGAGAAGATGGTGAATAGTAGAGAATTAAAAATTAATTTTTTTTGGAAAACAATTGATGATTGAGAAATACCTAAAGTACAAAGAGACCAAATTTACAAATAAAGCAAATTTAATTTTTTCTCAAAAACAAATTATGCAATTAAAACTCGAAGAAAGAGATGTACATTTAACAAAACCTTTTAAAACAATTAAAATTTTCTCGCAAACATTTCTTAACAAACATAAAGAAAAGAAATACGAGTTACATTCCCATTGGTTTAGTTCAAGTATATATAAAACCCGTTATAAAAGGAGGATTAAATAGATCAAACTTTATTATTTTAAGAAATGCTCGATTTTATGATTTTTAAGATTCTTTACTTGGTTATGTAGAATCTAGTCTTTGTAATGGTCCAATTTCTTTTGATTGCTATCTAGAATTAACAATTTATTTAAAAGATAAAAATATTCTTGATTATATAGTTTTACAAATTAAAAATCATAATTACAAAATGAATGTAGAATATATACTAGTTGTTATAATTTACAAACTCGCTACGTAACTATGGTTACGACCTTTGCATCCAAATCCTTTATCCAAAGCTAGAAAGGAGAAACCATACTTATACACACCGATCTAACTAGATCCAACATCATGATTCCAAAACCCATAAAATGGAGAGACATTTATCTCCCGAATAATAGATCCTTAAAGGAGCCAAAAGGGAAAAGACCTCTTCATCTAACAAAAAATCTCATCATAAAAGTTCAATACCTCTCAACAAGTCTAATTATAAAAACATCACTTGTTACAAATGTGGTAAAAAAGGTCACATCTCTAAGTATTACAAGATCAATAAAAAAAATACATAAATTACAACTTGAGAGAGAAGTACTTGATAAAATTAAAGCCTTTATTATCAAATCTTTTGATTCCGAAACAACAGACTTTAAATTTTTTTGAAAATGATGAGTCTCTACAAATAAATAA